AAGAATTTACTTTATATAATACCTAACGTTTCGAGATTCAAAAAGTATAAAACACTTTTTTACTTTTCAAATCACTTATACTGTTAACTTGTTCAAAGTAGTTAATTCGAATTTTATTGTTGTTGATACGTTTAATAGTTAATAATTGTAAGATCGTCTTTCTTTTTAGTAATACAACTTCGGGGCGAAACTGTCAGATAGTTAGTTCTCTCAGGTATATAAAACAGATAAGGTATCTTGTATTTTGACAATAAAAATGAAGTCTTTATAATTGCAGCTTTATTTTCATTTACTTGCGTTATCACTTCTGTTTAAAAACATAATGTAAATATGCAACGATATGGTGCGGATCGTTGAAGAAGTACCTTCATATATTAGCCTATCACTAATTTATAATTATTTACTGCAATTTACTTATTATCATATATGTACAGATTGTAAATAAAGTTGAAAAATAAAAAGAAATAATAAAGGTTCTCTTAAATCTTGATAGTGTTAAAATACTTTAATAGAAGAAAGGGGGTGAGAAAATATTGTAAGCACTTAACCCATTAGTACCTGAGCAGACACTTTTGGTAGGTCAGTTTCAACGTGTTACTGTATGCACAATTTAATTACAAAATATTTTGGAACTATTGTCCTTTATGTTTTGAAGGGTGCCGTTTTGAATAGAAACAGTTGCAGAATTAGAAAATGAATTTTAGAATTGGTAAATTGGAAAATCAAACAAAAAAAAGTGATTTTTTAATGAAAAAAAACAATTTAATCTTGTTTTTATACTTTTTTATTTTGAAACGTACGTAAAACCAGTAAAAAAGGTGTCCATGACAGCTAATCTAAACATTACTGGCATGATATTATTTTTAAATATTTTTGTTTAAACAAAATGGCGTCTGAAAAGGAAAATGTTTTTAAAATTCTTCAATTTTTTTCTTTAAAAGTATGGACTTTGATAAAAACATCATAAAAATATAAATATATTCAAATCAGTCAAAATTACACTCATATTTTTTCAGAGCATAAAAATCAAATTTTTAATTTTTAAAAAAATCGTGAAAATTCAAATTTTTCGAAAATCGTTAAAAAATCTGAAAAAATGTAAGTGTATTCTTTCACTCATTGTGAAATTGATTGTTTAATTTTTATGACGTTTTTTCTAAAGTCAATAGTTTTCGAGAAAAAAGTTATGAAAATTTGAAAAAACGTTTATTTGCCAGCAAATAGTATTATTACTCAGCTCTCACCAAGGGGGCAGTAAGTGTAATGTAGAAAGCCACATTTTGTTTTTGTTTCAATTTTTTTTTTAATTGTAATATTCACTTACGTTCATCCTATTTTCTTATATTTCACGAGTCGTAGAATAAGATTTTAATTATTACAGAGATTTTCATATTATTTGTTTAATTATTGTTAAATTTCATCAATATAATAATAAAAAAGATATAAAAAAATTTCAAAAAAAGAAAATTATTTAAAAATAGAGTAATGTAATGATTTACAAGTAGAGTTTACCTGCTTAACATCCAAGTAGGCTGAAAACTCTAACCTCAAATTTATCAGCAATGACCCGACCATAGATACGTAGAGCTCATACGATATATAACTATAATCTCGGCACAATTAAATCAAAGTTCAAAAGTTGATCTTTTTAATGGTATATCCGGATTTTGAATAAAATTAGAGTCGCGAAATTATTCAAGCCCAAAAGCAAAGGAAAACAGTACCTTTTGGACTTTTAGATTAAAATATCTTCGAATTCTAACGAAGCAATTTTGACGCAGGATTTGTATTCAGAACACCAAAAACCTTCGGGAACATATAGATTAGTTTTTGAATGTAAAATTTGCAGGTCTGTATTATTAATAATAGAAAGAATACACGCACACATACACACATAATCAGGAAAAGTCTTTCAAATATTCCCCTCGTCATAATTATATGTTTTATTGGTTCAATGACAAAAACAAGAATCAAGTTGAAGACTTAAATTGAATCAAAGGATGAAACTATAACATCTTTTCATACTCTACCTATATATTTAGATGATCCACGATGTAGTAATTTGTACATTATCAATTTTAATGAAACTGCAATATTGAAATATCTTGATTGTAACTTCAAAGAAAATTTAATTTATCATCTAATTTATGCGGTATTAATATCATATGTATCAAATTTATGTAAATATTACATGCATGATTTATAGACATTTTTCTGTTTTTTGTCAATTCAATAAAAAGAGTAAAGAAATAAATATGAAAAAATAAGATTACAATTCTTAGTTATTCCAAATAGCAAAATATCTTCTACATTGTGAAATTTTTAATCATCCCAACTGATCTACAATTCCAATAAATTTGGCTTATCTCAGAACATTGATCAATATGGTGACATATTCATTGATGTATTACAGAATTTGCAGAGTGAAGAAACAAATGTAGCATACGCAGCATTAATTATTTATATTATAACCGAAAATATTAAACGTTTGTTCGAATCATACAATTTTAGGTCGAGTACGTTTTCGAATGACACCAAAACTAATGCAGTGACATCAGTTTTTCATTAATTTCTTTTTCTAACCACTCTTTTGACTCGGTTTTTATAAAATTAAAAGAATTGCGAATATTTATAATTTTCGGAAAACATAAAAATGAACAAATTTTACAAGCTGCAAATTATATATATTATTATCATAATACGATGCTACAATTACAAATATATTTGAAAAATTTTTTTTATTATTGACAGACAAAAAATTTTTTTAGACCACTTGGATAATATGTCACTCGTAAACACACTGTGGAATTTTACCCGATCTATGTTTAAATATTGAATGCAAGTATAAAATATATTTTTGCATTGTACTGAGTATTAATAAGTAGCCTTGAAGAATTTTATTGCTACAGCTGTTAATGTAAACATCGACTGGAATATACTAAACAGCTGGCTACTTTGTTGAAAGCTGCAAGTGTTCATTCTATTTTTAGAATCTGGTTAATATGTACGGTTTATTCCTCTTATTTTAAATTGCATAATTGCCTAGCAAATATAAAAAAAATGTTAAAGAGCAAGTTAGAGAAGAAAACTTTCTATAATCTACGTATGTCATTTTACCCACGGCTATGCATAATATGCCACTTTCAAAGTATAAAAAAAATGTTCGCTATTGTTCATAAAATTAATTCTTTTCAGTTTTTATATTTCATGTACATCGTTAGGCCATAATTGAGTGACAACATTGTTATTAAACTAAATTAATATTTACTGCTAATATTTTTCACAATATTTGCTTAAATGTGGCATATTAACCTACCCTAGCCTGTTTATTTTTCAAAATATTTTGTGGAAAGAACAACTTTGCCGTATACTCCGGATAAAATGTGCGCTCAAATTTGAATTTTCCACGCGATGTTTCGAAAAACACTGTACTAAACGTGTGCGGAAACGAAATTCTCATCTCATATGCCTTTCCATCGTCTTCGCTCGGGCGTAAATATTAGACAATTGTCTACTTACCTACACCAGTTAGATAATATACTAATCTCTTCATTGACAATGTTCTTAATAGTAAGTTATCTTTCTTAGGTGTATATTAGAAATTGTATCAATATATATTTAGACATTTTCTTAATGTACTCCATAGTGTTTCAATATCAATATAGCTTTCATCTCTATTTCGTAAATAGATAAATTCTTTACAGTCTAATGATTTAGCGTTTCTTATTATATCAAGTATTATTAAATTTTTAAAGGAATTGATTTGTAAAAAATACAAAATTAGGTTTCACTATTTTAAACGGTTGCGAATGAAAATGCTATCAATTATGTTACCTCCATTTATATCTGCGCACTAGATGCGAACACTATTTTACTAAATAATTTATATTATTTATATTTTATATTTATTTATATTTATATTTTATATTTTTATTTATATTTATATTTATATTTTATATTTTTATTTATATTTATATTTATATTTTTATATTATTTTATATTTATATTTATATTTTATATTTATATTTTATATTTACTATATAATTTTAATAAATATAAAATCTTAATTCCTGTTTCTCTACGTAGCAATTATAATAAACTTAGTTAAACGTAAGCTCCATTTTTCACTCTTAATGATAAAATGCTTGTTTTGAAGTTCCAAAACCGAATTTACATGTGATTCAGACCTGTAATGCTTTACATACATCTTTAACTTAAAAAAGAGTTTAGGATATATGCACGCTACGAACTATTAGAAAAACGAATATTCATCTACATATATTTTTAACAGTAATATCTATCTTCTGTATTATCGTTGCTCCTTATTAAATAATAAGTTTCATAGTGATAAGATAGAAATTCGTCAATTTGAGATATGTATATTTCCCACCATATTTAATAGATTAAAAATTATATGTTGATCAATGAGGGAAAGTAGGCCAGTAAATAAATTTACTCCTTATTTTTTAGCAACATTTTGTCGGCCGTCTCGTTGATCTTACCAGATTTCTTGAACAAAAAACATGCCAACCATAATGCTCAAGTTAAAACACAGATTATTGCGCAACAATAAATCAAATTAACGTTAACCTTTACCTGGTCACTAGTTATCGAACTATATGGAAACTAGAGTATTACCAGTCAAAACTGAATTGAGAAATCATAACCGTTTGATTTTATTAAATTAAAACTCATGAGGTCATCAAAATTGCTGATGAAACGTTGCTGAGTAATAAGGAGTAAATTTATTTATTGTCCTGTCTCTCCTTCTATAATCAACACATTTTTCAATCTAAAAAACTTAATTAAGTTTTTATGGTATCTATATAATTAAATGAGGTCTTTTGAACGATTTTAATTGATTTAATACAATGCTAATTTAAAATAAAATTCACTTCTCTTCCTAATTCGTATTTAAGAGTTTTTTTCGAATTCATGATAAATAGACATTTTAATATTTTATCATTTAGTAAAATTATCGATTTATTGAACACCACAAATCTTCGACATGTTGTATGAATCATTTACTTATTACTCAAATAGTGAACACCCAATTAATCCGATGAATTATCAGTTTGTTCAAAGCTTTACAAATCAGAAAATTTTTTATATTATTTTTGATAATATTTTTGAAAATTTAACAATTTTAATATATTTTGCTAACAAATTATTCTAGATATTACTAAAAATAATGTTATCAATCCATTTTCGGTATTTAGCAACATTAGTTTGGAGATCTGGATGATTCTTATCGCCACACTTAGCTTTTGCATAATTAACAGATATCACTCCAATGACCACTGTCTTGTCTTTAAGTACAGGACCTCCAGAATCTCCCTAATTGTAAGATGAAAAAAAATTGTTTTAAATAAGATATTATGTGTAGGTACATTAATGTTTCAACAAACTACGTGAAAAGTAAAATTATCGATTTAAAAATCATTCAAAAATTATAAATGCTACTTACATAGCAAGCACCTCTATTCTTCTTGCTATTATGAGTAGTACAAAATACTGTGTTGCTCACTTTAACTTTACCTGCATACAACTCAGTACATTGTGAATGTGATAAAACTATAACTTTAGTTTTTTTTAAGCTACCGCACGCTGCTTTAATGTCCTATAATAAACCAAGTGGATTATTAAATATTGATGAACTTGGCGTTTAGTTTTAAATATCGCATAAATGTTTTCATCAGATTAGTCACAAAAAATGTACCGCGTGGGTATGGAAACGGCTTTATTTGAAGTGTCTAATATTACCAGAATAAATTTGTGATTAAAAAGATTACTTTTTCGCACTCAAATAAAAATAGTAAAATTATAATCTTCTCACGGATTTTGTAACGCCCCAGCCAATGATATGAACAATTAGGTCATCAGGTATACGATAGTCTTCTGGCACAAGTTTAGCCTTACTTATACATTTGTCCATTTTATAAGGACCATCAAGCTGTTAAAAAATGTTATTGATTACATATTATAATAAATTAGGATTGATATGGATTAAAAATGGAAAAAATTAATACTTTAACGAGTGCAATGTCGTTATCCCGAGGGAGTGGTTTATTATAATTTGGATTTTTGAATATTTGAATAATTCTCCGTACATTTTTATATTCTTTTATACTTTTCAAATCTCTACTCCCTGCAACTACGCGGATATCCTTGATAACCTTACTAAAAGTGATAGTTTTAGGTATCTAAAGGCACTCATTTACTTGCCATCGTAATTTAAATGAATAATTACCCAGCAATACAATGTGCAGCCGTCAGAATAAACATTTCATGTACAATGATTCCTCCACAAAAATGTTCGTTATTTTTGGATATGTTTTGAAAAGAGGCCTAAAAATTCAATAAAGCGGTTAATACTTTAGATTAATTAGTGCATTACATATTAAACTCATAAGTACTGTAAAAGGAAATTCATTTTTATCAACGGTTGATCCATCGAGAATTGCCTTTACACTGATTATCCATTCTGAAATAGAAAATATTTTTAATTTACAAAAATTTCAACCGTAAATAATTTAATTTTCATACCTACCATTTTGAACCAACATAATGAGTAACAAAATGAAACTTGGTAAAATAATCATGTTGATTGTTTGAAATTTAATACCAGTTTCAATCAACAGTCACGTATTAGAATAAACTGAAACTCGTATCTGTCCATGTATAGGGAAGTATATGGAACAAATATTAAGACATATTCTTATATACTCTTGTATGTCCACCTATAATACTTTGATAATGAATAAAGGTATAAATTATGGCATTTTGGTGTTATCGTTACTTCAAGAACTGCGTTTGTATTGAAGGTTGCGTCTTTGCTCAAATACATTATGGTAAAATATAATTACACTACTATTATTAATTTTTAGCATTTGTATCTCGAAAGTTTGTTACCTCAGTAGTGATATTTCAATAGTCTGAACTTTTTTTCGAAAAGTTTGATCTACACATGTTCCAGATTCAAAAACATCACCTATCTATAATAGGCTTCTAATGTTCAGTATCTCAGTTGAAACGCACGAAAAAAAAAATTTCAAAATGTCTCTATTTCTCACCTGAGACTTAGAAAAGGCTTTTTAAAAAAATTAACAAGAAAAATTTTACGGTATATGTATAAAGTTACGCATATATATAACTTGATTGTATGAAAAAAGAAGCTAATTTATCATATCTTAGTCAGACCGAAGGTAAAAACGTTATTTTAATATTTCTACCGTTAGTTTCATTTTGTTTACGCCTTCTTTTATCAGATGTGTGCATTTTTAATGATTATTTGACAGTTCATTTAGATTTTCCTTTAAATAATTTGTTAGTGCTATTCTATTTCATTGGAAAAATCTTCAATACCGAAAATCATCAAGATATACTTTTATAGGAAAGTTCTTGGTAGATTATTTCTAATTAAATTTCAAATAAATCCTTTCTTTATTAATAGCGGACAAGAAGATAAAGCTAAATATTTAGTAATGTACTTAGATCGTAGAATAACGTGGCAGAACCATATTTGAATCAAGTGAAAACAACTCAGTCTATAGTTGCAAAAACTTTACTGATTATTAGGCAGAAAATAAAAAATTTCAATTAATACTAAATTATAAAAATATCAATTCATAATTGAACCAATCAGAACTCATGGAATTCACTTATGGGGTACGGCAACAAAATCAAATACAGACATTATTGAAAGATTCAAAAATAAAGCCCTAAAATTCGTGGCGAGAACATCATGGTTCTTCACGAATGAGATAATCGAAATGACACCAAGATAACAACAGTAATAAAAGAAATAAAAGCTACAAGCAAAAACTACACACACAGACTATCTGAACATTCAAATCATTTGGCGAATAATTTACTTTATACGTGTAATATCTAACGTTTCGAGATTCTAAAAGTATAAAACACCTTTTTTACTCTTCAAATCACTTGTACTGTTATTTTCTATTTAAAAACTTAATGTAAATATGCAACGTTATGGTACGGATCATCAAAAAAGTTCCTTCATGTATTATCTTATCACTAATTTACAATTATTATAATACAATAAAGCTAGGTCTACCCCGTCCAAATTTTCTATGCGTACGTCATCTTTACAATGTTGTGGTCATGGAAGTAATCAATGCGAGTAGTGTATCTATATGTGAAGTCTATGCAATAGATACTTCCGCGTTACTCGCATTGGTTACCAAATTCTTTTATGACTACAGAAATGTAAAGATGGTATTCCCGTAGAAAATGTTGACGCGGTAGATCTTGGGGTACTGGGTAGTACGTGGGCAGTCCCTTACCCGCAGAGTTAAAATTACCCTATATCTGAAATATAAACACATCATTTGCAAACCAATTGGTGAGTATATTAATAAAAAAAGAATAACGTTCTTTCTTTCCCAAAGTCCTTTACAACCTGTATGATGATATAATAACAAAATTGTCTAGAATATAACGATAACACAAAACCGTTAAAGTGACGTGGAAACTTGCCAACTACTTAATTGTTATCGAAGTTTGCTAAAAGCTATAAGAGTATTCATGTGACGATACTTGCGAACAGATTCCCCCAAATGGAACTTGAAAAGTCCATCCAAGCTACGAGTACGATCTTTCATAATGCTAGCTTAAAAAATTCAGGTAATTGCATAACTGGTGCTCGTAAACAAACGTCAATTTTTGATTGCCGTCGAAAACCGTGCCGAAAGTCAATATCGTCAATAACGAGGTGGCAGCTCTGGATTAAAAAAGAAGGGTTGGGCTGAGGCTATGTAATGGCCGAACTCTCTTTCGCTCGCTCGTGTGCGCTCCATTAGCGAGCTTGCTAAATATACTTCGGTGTTCTCGTGTGCACGTTGTCTGTCAGGGATCGTTAAAGCGTCGCTGTTACGCAAAAAGGGTCGTTTTAGCTCGTTGTCGATCTCGAAGCGAGAATTTTCGAGTTGTAAACTAAACTAATTCTCAACATTTTTCTTGTATAGATAGCACTCTGAGGAAGAGTTTGAAACTATGCAAACTTTTACATACCTAAATGATACATTGTGATGTTTTGAAATAGCCGGTGTAAACATAATTAAAATAATCGCTCTTTATAGTTGAATATTGAATAATTCTTTAAGTATTTGATGGTCAACCCATGGTTGTAATTAAATTATAATCAATAAATCATGTCATTCAAACGATTCGATGAATTGATTATTAGCTTGGTCATGGAAAATACTTAATATAAATATATTTTATATCAATTTTTGACTATAAAAAATGTATTAACATATATTTATATTAATTTTTTTTCCTAATGAAGGTGACAATCAGTTCAGCGAAATATTGTGATGGCATTTAGTTAACTATAATTTACTTACAACCACAGCTTGATCCTCAACTTCGTAGAATTATTTTAGCATCAAATTTCAAATACTCGAATGAAATTGCAGCTCTGCGAAACTGGATTAATTTCACTGTGGCTAGTTGCAAATCTTCATGAGCGAAGAGAGCTTTGAACGTTTATAGTCATTTAGAAGTTCGATTATCTGAAACTCTTTAAGCTCATTAAATAATTTACTTGTTGGCATAAAAACTATCATGTAAAATTTGAATTTTAAATCGACGCTCATGATAAAAAATGTAATCACTTTAAGCGTACGATAAAATTGGCCATCAAAACAAAATCAATACTCGATTTCCATAATAAAACTTCAAAAAAGCCAAATACCAGGCGAGATGATCTTTCTGTTACGAGGTATCAATTAAACCAAATCACCATGCAAATTTGGTGGAGATAACAATACGAGCGCGTCATATCGTCCGTCTACATTATTATCACTTTTGACCCGTCCCCTTTGACGCAAGTGAGAGGTAATTATCGAGGCCCCTGTGCTATCGTTATCGATGCAGATTGAATAAAACCATATCTCGCGAGCATACAGGCCCCTTTCACACATAACTCGATGGTGCACACTACCGAGCTCGTCGAACTTCGATATACATTAACACTAGAGCACACATATGTGCGTAGGCAGTCTGTAGTTTTGTATAGCTTGTTTTTTTTGTTCCGTTTCTTTTCTTTTTCATACAGTGTCTGTGATGCGTGTGGCTGGCTTTGCGATTGTACGAGATTCGTGGGATTGTTCGGTAGATGAGAAAAAAAAGGACGAGAAATTGCGATTTTACTTATAGGACAATTTTGCAGAAATAATTTCTTTCCTCTTTTTAGTAAATTGAAATTTATGGCTAAATTACCTTTTCGGCGGATATTAAAAAAAACAACTTTGGATAAATCATTTCTCAATAAATTGCCATAGTCTTAACTTATACGAAGTTCTAAATCAGTCATTTACATTCGCGTAAAGAAAAAGTTTGGTAAATTCGAAACTGATAGGAGAAGCGATATAAAGACAATATGCACTGTGGCGAATAGAATAGCGAAGTCAGGAACCATGAATAACGAACGCGTGCGACTATATGGCAGTGATACACATCACGTAAAAAATATGGACGACTTTGGCCGTGTATATGTGTATGACAGCAAAGCCATAAAAAGCTTTGACAATCAGAACGTAAACTGGCAAAAGTTACAAGAACTGATGGGACATTTTCCAATAACTTGTTTCTCTCTTTCTTCAATATATACGCAAGCGCGATATTCTCTCGGACGTGTGCATGCGGCTACATTAACTCAAATTCATGGACGAACGCATATTGGCTCTGAATTATGAGTCTACTAAATATTTGTAATCGGTTTTTTTTCCGTCGTCTCTCGCTTTCGTTTCTTTTTATTTTTTTTGTTGACTTCGCGATCATAGAGGCATTAAACGTACGCTCGATATTTTCGTCGGATATGCACGACTATATATGAAAACATCTGTCTTCCCGCCTGCGATATGTACATATACATATATGCGCGCGGCTGTTAGATTGTACATCGGGTATTGATGCCTAGGCTGGGCTCTCATTGTCAATGTCAGTTGCTTGTTCTGTAGTTGGATTTGTTGTTTTGTAAAGTGAAAAAGAGAAGTTGAATTTGATGAAGTCAATTAATTTTATACAAATTTGAATAATTATTATAATATGATTAAAGATTTAATTGGTCTAATATTTATTAATCGCCATTTCGCTTCTGTATCACAGTTTAGTATGGTAAGAGGTAGATTATACTACTAGTAATTTTTATCTATAACGTGATTATCTTTTATGGCGATCTGTTTTCAATCAGGAAATTGCACTATTCTAATCTGTAATACTTACTGGAACTTCTTGAGTTTTGTAGAACATTTGTATAATCAATACTATTAACTTTATCATGTTTACTTTATTCGTTATTAATTTAATATCAGTTTATTCTTTAATTTATAATTCAGATTAGTTGTTAACACATGCATGGGTTAAAGTCTACTGTTCCGTACGACCGAGTATAATTTAACCGTGGTTTGCTTGCAATGAAATCAAGATGCTTGTGTCAAAATCGAAACTCGTGCCGACGATGACGTGTGCCTGAACGTCTTAATTTTCATAGTGCGTTTCTATTTCAAATTTCTCTCTTTGTCCCATGATTTATAGCCGATATACAATACAACTTGTATACATATACAAAATCCGATAAAGCCTTCGCTCTCGAATATACGACCGTACAATCAAGTGTCGTCAAGCCGACACTCGAAAAAGAAGA